CAACAATGAGATGATTGGTAAAGTGAAGAATCAGTTTCTCCTTTACAAATATCACTTTCATAGGTTCTTCTTTGATCTGATCATAAATCATGATTGAAGAGGTGTCCGAAGTGAATAATTTCTTCTTGAATAGGATGAACTTTCGTGACATTTCAAGTTCAAAAATGAAATTGATATTCAAAGCACATGTTAAGTAGAGTGGAGAAAGACAAACATCGAGAAACATTAAACGAATTTTTCTTATGTTGTTGTTCAGTGTCAGAACAGAACGAAAGTCGATCATGTGCAACATCGTTAAATTTATTCCAGATTCAATTTCCATATGCCTTTCTTAATCACATTTTCAATTAATGTATCGTTGATTTTAGTATGTTCGAAAGGAAATCACGATGTTTACATCTTGTAGAATGAATTGAAGGTGATTTGTTGCTGAAAGCATCTTAAAGACGAACGACATAAATGCGAGTTCCGTGCATTACTTGTTTTGGATGACGTTTGTTGATGATCTTCTGGTTCACGATTTAAAATTCGAATTGATCAAATCTTGACGTTAGAAGACTTTCTTCAACTCAATTACTGGATAAAACCAACATTCACTGTGGATTAAATTTCAAACTGGTTTCTTTTTTCTTCTCTTTTGTCACCGGAAAATTGTCTAAGATTGATTTCTTAATTTCTCATTTTCGCTACAAAAATTAACATATTTTCATACGTTAGTTCCTTCTCAACGGCGTTCATGACAGAAGATTGCGACAACTCGATAAAGAGAAATTTGCATCGCTTGTACAAAACACTGTAAGATTGCAAAACACACGAATTATTTAAAACTCAATGAAATATTTTAATGAAGAAATTTCCGCTCGCTTTATGCATTTAAATTAAAATTAAAATTTCTTTTCCAAATAGGCACAAACATATGTAAACGTTATTGTAATGAATAACATTATTATCTAATGTTAATAATCATAACATAATCGCCCAGCATAAAAGCTACGATCAAAGCGCGAGGCTGTCTACTGGTCGGTTCAAGTGTTAACTCCTATTGAAGTCATGTGAAGCCAAGTGCGAAACATGAAATCATTTATCAAATGTGGATCATGTTAACATGCACTAACAGCACGTGGCTGCTGAAAAAAAAAACTCACTCATGAAGGTTTTTATTCACTCGAAGTTGTCACTAATCAGGTTTTTGAGTCGACTTAATGTGAGCCATTTTTTTCTTACTTAAATTATAGTTTAGGTTGTCACTGTAAGTTGCGAAAATAATCGTCAAGTAAAGCAGTTTTTTGTATTCATTCATCATCATCTGAGCACATCTTTTAACAATAATCGAAATTAATGGCCTGTTTAAAAAACATTTGACAAAACTCAAATTGTGAAATTCATCGGTGATTAAATACAATGCGAGAACTAACAAAACATTTTTATTTTTTTTTGGGAATGTCGAACTTAAAGTTTACGATCTTCGACATCTTGAAACAACAATAAGCTATTAAAGTGCAAAATCTGACATGTTCACGAAGCTTCTTCATCATCACCTCAACATGTGTGCCAAATATTTATTTAACGACACTTAACAATGCCTCGTGATCACTCAAGAAGTGTTCAAATCTGTTCAAAGGTGCATGTGAAAATGCTAGAAGGAAGTTCATCAAAAGAAAGAGACTGGCAGGAATTCATAATGAGACATTACCAGGTCGTAGATGCTCTGATTGCGTAACTTTCTTCGATGATTCGAATTCAAAGACATTCGGTTAAGTCGAAAGACAAACTTTTGAAAGTTTCTTTTGTTCCGCGAAATTGGATCACGATTTGGAGATTCGGTGATTCAATAAAGCGTTTTCGCAATTACTTTTGAGACTTGAAGTGTGTTGTGTGGTTGCGTTAATTATTTTCCGCATCGCTTTCTTTCAACCGTTGACAACGACAAGGTCTTGAAGGTCTCTCGTGGGATAATCAAATGACGTAAGGGATGCAATTCGATCTTGGGCATGGCCACATTCTCTCATTAAGCAACATAAACAATGTTTCTTCTCGAGGATTTGCAACCTTGAATAGCATGAACATGATGCGATCATTTCCACTCGTCTGTGACGTTAACATGAGACACACGTTTATCAGGTTTTCGCTATAAAATGTTCCGCAGTGAGAGTTGGACATTGCATCTGATTTCTATTTTTTTATTGTGAATTTTCATGTCGTTGCAACGAGTTTCACCTTGAATTGTTCGATGCTGAATGCTGAATGTTGTTCATCCTAAACTAGACATCATGTTGGCTCATTAATGACTCAATGAATTATCTCGTGAACTTTCAGAAAATTGGAAATTTCTCCAATTCACATAAGATCGGGAATTCAACAAGCGCAATATTAATGCCAATAAAGAACTTTTTTAACGCAGGAAATATCAAGGCGGGGGATAATCCCCAAGCGATCAATGTTACTAAGTAGCAATCAATTTGCTATGCTTCATTTCTACATTGTATGAAACCTGAAAGTTGATTAATAAATTATAAATTTATTCCGCACTGATCAACGTGAGTTAAATTATGAGACGATCTCATGTTGGCGGCACTAGCATTTTTTTCAATAACAAATTGTTCGCGATCATCTCGATGCAACAATTCGAAAACTTGAAAACTTTTTAACTGCAATTCAGAAATTTCACTTTCGTTTGATGCTGTTGATCAGCTAATGATGAAGTCAATAAACTCTTTCTTAGTGCAGCTTTTAATTTTTTGTAATTGAATCATAAACTGCATAACAGACACTATCAGTTGTAAGTGTTAATGAACAAGGAAAATAAAATTCACGACATGATAAGCTAATCAAAGAGAAAACTTTTTTAACCCTGATTGTTATGAATATAAGAAAATGTTTTTGATGAGTTCATTTCACTTAACAGCGGAACTTAAATAAAAAAATCGTTTTTCCGCGTAATTGTGAAATTTATAAGTTTGTTCATCTTGAAATTTTTTATCGACTCAATTTTCTACTTTGATTTGAATACAAACAGCACGAGATTGTTTCTAAAAGCTAAAAAACACGATTGTACGACCTTCCTAACTCCACCCACTCTTTAGATATATTTGCAATGCCTTATTTTACTTTGTATTATATAATTTAATTAAGCATGAATATTCAATGTCATTCAAACAGTTGTTCATTGTGAGGCGAGAAAAATAAAGTTTTTTTATGTTACAAATTCTTATGCTTTAATTAATACATTCGTAAAGTCAAATGAAATGTTTATTTTCTCTTTTCCTTTCATCTATGTTTAATTGATCGGATCAGCAATCAACATGACGGAAATGATTATTCGTGCTTTTATTCTAATTTAAAATTTCCATATTTTTTATTTTCGTCTCGTTTCGATCGATTATTGAACGAATTAAACATAACAAAGAACGTAAATGGTTCAAATTTGCAAACGATTTTTTTCTTCATTTGAATCGAAGGCTTTTCGAATAAGTAAACAAACAACAAAAACTTTTGAAACCGATTACGAACGTTTATAGTTAAATTAATCTCAATGGAACCATTTATCGTTGCCATAAGCTGAAACTTTTTAGTTGTATGTTCGTGATTATCATCAGATGCACGGATTTATGATCAACATTTCACATTATGCGACGCATAAGAGATTGAAAAGGAAATTGAAGGAGATTCTCGTGGCCATAATGCTGTACAACTGACCCAAATAACCAGCAGGAACACCCAACGACAATTGGTCATTAAACTTTCAGCTTCTGCCGTTCACGCTTTTCAACTCGCTTTCAGCAATCAAAACAGATTCACTTTCAGTGGTGGATATGTAAATTAAAATATTCTCACGAAAGCTTAAGCAGAGAAGAAGCAACCGCAGGCAAACTGCTATGTGAAATGTGTTTCATAAATAAAATGAAATGGAAGCATTCATTGACATTATGCAAATTACATTTGGCAATAAAACGATACTAGATCGAGTTTAGGTTTCAAATTCCGTCGTTACAAGCAAAATTTATAAGATAAGCAAATATTCAGTTAATTGCATTGTTCCAAAGCTTGCATTGTTACCCTAATTGAGCGTGAACGAACATCGAATATGCAAATTATTTGAACCTCTTCTTTTCCTCAACAAAACTTCATTTCTTTTAAAATCTAAAAAAAACTTTCGCTTGTGAATCTTCTTTGGAATATTAAACGAATTTCATTTGCTTCAATTGCAAAATAAATACCCACAGCGTGGGGCTGGCATGAAATGAATTAATCGCAAATTGAAGGAATTAATCAACGAACAACTATCCTAACAGCAGCACACTTGGCGATGTTCACTGAAGCACATTGTGGAACATTCATCTTAATTAAATTCATGCTTCGATCCCATGAAGAAGATGAAATTCACTTTTTTTATACAAAATATTTTTCTTCTCTTTAACTCAAATCAAAGCAATAAAATATTTTTATATAATTTTCCATGGATTAAATTGTTAACAATTTCCTATGGAAGCTTGAAGAAAATTCAGAAGCTCAATTACGGAAATTGATTTGACATGTGACTTGATTTAAAATCATTGCAAGATTACATCATAATGAAAGGCTTTCAAATTAATTCGATCCTACTAATTGTGAGTTTAAAATGTTACGATCAATTATAAAATGCACTCAAAGTAATTATTAATTATAATTGATATTTTTATGGGTTTTCAATTGCTTTTTTTTTTTTTGAATAAATGATTTACTCTGATTTTTATGTTTTTCA